GTTGTAGTTAAAAAGTCGTTTGTTGCCACTGTGATAGGCTGTTTGTCGCTGCGAAATAAGAGACTTAAGCCTGAGAGAGATCCATGGGGCATCGTTTTGGTGGATTTTGACCCGATTGGTTGGTAAAATAGAATCTAAACCAATTTGGATCGGTTCACTAAGATAGGGATATTTATCTTGAACACTGTCCATGGTGTCAATTAAGTGTTTACTACAATCCACCTGCTGATCTTCCACCCTTTGGCTTATCCGAGCACTGCACCGTTGGTCTTCGTCCTGAGGCCCGTGTGAAGGCCAATGTCCCTTCAAAAAGAGTAATCAGTACTAGGGTCTCTAACTCTGAGTCTAAAATGGCCTTTGGGTGATATATAACTGGTCTTGATTGGTCCTTAATTGACACCATGGACAGTGTTCAAGATAAATATCCCTATCTTAGTGAACCGATCCAAATTGGTTTAGATTCTATTTTACCAACCAATCGGGTCAAAATCCACCAAAGCGATGCCCCATGGATCTCTCTCAGGCTTAAGTCTCTTATTTCGCAGCGACAAACAGCCTATCACAGTGGCAACAAACGACTTTTTAACTACAACAGAAATATGGTGGGCAGAGTGCAGACGCATTTGCGGCATGGGAAAAAGACCATCTGACTTGTCTAACCAGCTATTAGTTGACAAGCCTTTTACTGATGACAATATTAAACGCCTCACAAACGACATCAACCAAGCTTTTCTACGCCCACAACAATTCCTTTTCGCCCATTCCTGATGACTATCACGTTAGTACATCTGGTCATGAGGCTCCAACTACTTCCCTTGAACTGTGTTTTAAATGGCTTAGCGCAGTTGTCGCCTCTAAAGCAGGGGGCCTAGATGACATCCCAAACTGGGAATTACGTGAGTTTGCTCTTCAACTTGCTCAGCCAGTTTGTTCGGTTTGAAATCCATCCTTTATTACTGGCTCTATGCCTGAAACTTGGAAATGGGCTAACGTCACTCCTCTTGCTTAAATTACCAACATAGAAGATATCGAGAAAGATCTTACACCTATTTCGCTTACTCCTACTTTATCGAAAATCGCAGAACATTTTGTTGTCCAAGAGCATGTGAAGCCTGCTGTTCTGAAAAGACTACGCCCAGGCCAGTTTGGATGTATCTCGGGTTCCTCTAATACGCATGCTTTAATTGGCATGTTCCATAATTGGAATCGCGCTCTTGATGGAACTGGGAACTGCGTAAGGACCTTTATTCTAGATTTTAAGAAGGCGTTCGACTTGATAGATCGGAGTCTGTTGATGGCCAGGCCTTTTCAATATGATATTAAACCTTACATCATAAATTGGATTGCAGCCTTGCTCTCGAAAAGGTAGCAAAGAGTCAAACTAGGGAACGACTGCTTTTCCGAATGGCGTTCAGTACGTGCAGGGGTCCCTCAGGGTACCAAAGTGGGCCCCTTGCTGTTCCTCGTTATGCTAAACGATCTCAGTGTAGATACTTCGAACGGCCTTTTTAAGTACGTGGACGATACTACAGTATACGAGATAGTGGGAAAAAAGGGTCTAGTCATGCACAGTCCATCCTCGATGAGGTATCTACATGGTCTGCTAACAACAAGTTCCAACTTCATCCCAGTAAATGTAATGAGCTTGGGATAACCTTTGAACGCTCTCCGACAATATATCAACTTGTGGAAATCGCCGGTAGTAAAATTCATACAGTACAAGTAGTTAAGCTATTGCGCGTTTATATTCAAGAAGACCTTAAGTGGAATTCTCATGTGAGAGAAATGACAAAAAAAGCTGCCAAACGCCTGTATTTTTTAGCGCAACTAAAGCGTGCCAAAGTTGCACCTGAAGAACTAGTTCAGTTCTATGTTGCCTACATCCAATCTGTTTTACTTTATGGCTGCCAGGTTTTTCATTTTAGTCTTCCACAATATCTAACCTTAAGTTTAGAA